ACACACACACACACGGCCTTCACACAGACACACACACACACAGACACCGCCACACACAGATACACACACACACACACAGATGCAGACACAGACAGACGGACACAGCAACACACACACACACACACACACACACACACACACACACACACACACACACACACACACACACACACACACACACACACACACACACACACGCACGCACGGACCACTGTGTGATGCGGCGGGTGGCGTTGAAGTTTGCGTCGTAGAGGGTCGCGTAGATCCAGTCGGCCTCCGCGTCCACCAGCTGCGGCTCCGGGGGTTCACGCAACTCCCCGCCAAACTTGAGCTGCACGCGCTCAGGCTGGTCTGCACAGGGCGAACGCAGCACCAAGCAGCATGGCGGTGGCGGGCAGCGGTGGTGATGTGAGGGATGAAGACGGAGATGGAGGTGGCGATGATGGTGGAAGAGCGGAAGTCGGCGTATTGGCAATAGGATGGCAGTAACAACAGCGCAACTTTCCCTGCGCCTCTTAGCCCCCCAACACACACACACACACACACACACACACACACACACACACACACACACACACACACACACACACAGCAAGCGGACGCAGCACCCCTTCAACAAGCCAGCCAGGCGACATCAACGTACCTTGCATGCGGATGGTATTGTCCTCTGCAGTCATGTGCGCCTCCTCAAGCTCAATGGGCTCAAACTGCGCGCGCGTGCGCTTTGGCATCTTGGCTGGCGGGAACATGGCTGCTTCAGCCTCAACCTCCTCGCCCTCCGCGTACAGGTCCTCGTCGGCATAGCGCAGCACGGCGCCCTCGCTGGCCAGTAGCGCCGCCTCGTCGTCATCGTCGCGCCGACCGGCTGCCGTCCGCTTGCGCCGCGGCTGTCGCTGATTTGGGGGGGGGGGGTGGTGATGGTGGTGGAGTGCATGTGTGCGATTGCGTGGGGTGCATGGTTTGAGGCATGGTTTGGACGGTGGGTGAAACGAGGAGAGCGCATCGACTGAGTAAGCGACGTTGATGGTTCCATAGCGAGCGACACCTCGCCGTCACACACACACACACACACACACACACATCCACACACAAAGTGCAACACCAACCAGTTCACACATCGAAAAGAATGACAGGAGCAAGAACGCACCTCTGGCACCTCCTCTACCTCTTCATCCTCTTCGTCCTCGTCCTCATCAAACAGGAACGTGGCGCGCGGTTTCGCTGCAACGAATCAAGAGGAAGCACGGCAGAGGGATAAGTGAGCACTTACTGCACAACACGCGTACTTGTGTTGTATGTTTCGTGTGTGTGTGTGTGTGTGTGTGTGTGTGTGTGTGTGTGTGTGTGTGTGTGTGTGTGTGTGTGTGTGTGGTGCTGGTAATGCTTTGACATATGGTTCATGATGAAGTTCATAAAGCACCACAAGCACGACCATCACCAGTGAACACGGCATCCCGCTATATGCCATCACCATACACATGCATGCGCGCATACCGCGGGCCTGTGCGGCGGGTTCATCAAACAGATCTTTCTTCAAGTCCGCCACAGTGCGCGGCTTCGTGGCTGTATTGGAGGAAGCAGCAAAAGGAGGGGTAAGGCAGTGAGTACAAAGGCGCGTTGTGTCGCACACTCTCAAATCCCCCCAACGGTTATGCGTGAGCGCACAAAGCCAGAGAGAACACTGTCTTTCGATGCCGTGTAACGTGTGCACTGATGCTGTGTCGAGGATGCAGTACGTACGAAGCTCTTCGTCGCTCTCGTCCTCGTCGTCCGCGTGCGCTTTCAGTTTGCGCTGTAATCGGATGAAAGCACGCACAAGCAGCACAAGCAGCACATGAGAACAACAACAAGGTCAGCAAAAGGGGCGCAAACATGGTTCACAACTGTGAGAGAGGGTGTAGGCACGCAAGTCGGAGAGCATCAGCAACGTATTCACATGCACAATGTGCACACACACGCATGCATACACAAGTACACACCTTCCGACCGGCGAGCAGCCGCTTGAGGCCTGCTTCACCAAGGCGCTCACGGACGAGCTCATAATCGTCCTCCGTCAACATCTGCTCCTCGTCAGCGAGCTTGGCTGCAATGTGGTGGCGTGGGAAAGGCACAACAACAACAACAAAACACGGCACAAGAGGTGGGGGATTGCAGGGATCGAATGTGCACGCGTTGTGTGAGAATGACGGCTTGCCCTGCGCAACTGATTTGGAGGGCAGTGTGGGTGCTTGCAATCCATTGGCCAGCAGGGTGGTGATGGTGGTGCTCACATTTGACGCGACGAACGTCCTCATCCTCCTCTTCCTCTGCATCGCCCTCTGCGATGAAGTCGGCCATTTCATCGTCGCCCTCTGTTTTATGTGTTGGGAGAGTAGTACCCACACGACAAGTGAATGGTGGCAAGGTGAATTCAGGAGCATGAATGAATGCGAGTCAAGTGGGGGCAACTGTGTGTGCGCGTGGGTGTGTGCAACTGTGCATGTGTGTGTGTGTGTGTTTAATTATGTGTGTGTGCTGAATTGTGTGTGTGTGTGTGAGTGTATGTGTGTGTGTGCCCACTGCTACTGCCCTCCTTCCCCTTTTTCTGTTTCACGATTGTTCGTACCGTTGTCGTCGTCGTCATCGCTGCCCCCTGCTCCAGGCTCGTAGTTCTCATCTTCTTCTTCCTCCTGTGAACGGCGCGTGCGTAAGTGTGTGGTCATGAGAAACACTTCTGTCGTCTCCAACACCACGAGCAGCCCGAACCACGCCCAGGCACATATTTGCACGACAAAGCGGCGACAGAGCACGAGCACCAAGCCAAGCCAAGCAAACAAGCAAGCAACAACAACCACTTTCCCTCTCCCCGACTCGTTTCACCACGCGCATGCAGCCGATGGCACTCACGGCTTCATTGTCCATGAAGAAGGCACCGCTCTTCGACGTCATGGCTGCTGGCACACCTTCAAGGCCGCGATTACCTCAACACAAAAGCAAGCCGCGTACGTGTCCGTCTGTGTGTATGACACGCAAAGAAAGGCTAAGACGATGCAGAAGGAGGTCGCGAGCGCACACCACAATCAGAAAGAAAGTGAGGTGGTTATGGAGAAATGGCTGAAAACTTCTGTGAATATTCGGCAATCCCGTCCACCAAAGACCAACCAAGACGACAAACACAACAAACCCTCGCAGCTGGCCCTTCCTTGCTCGCTCGCTTACCTTGCTCTCTTGCTTGCCTTGCTTGCTTGCCTTGCTTGGCATCTTTCCTCCACCCTCCCCTGCTCCCTGCGGCCTACCTACGATCCAAAGTTGCAGAGTGAGCGAGGCAGAGGAGCACAGGGCGACCCGCGCAAGAGCCAAGGTCGCCACTCTCCTCAGTACCTTCCGTTTGTTGCTCTTCAGCACCTTCACGCAACAAACAAACAGCAACAGTGGCACAAACCACCAGTGCTCCCCCCGCTCCCCTCCACCAGCATGCAAGACGCGGCCGACGCGGAGCCGCCACCATTTGTGCGCGTTTGTGAGAACTACTTGCCTGCGAAGAAGTCTGAGCTGGCACTCATTGTCGGGCATGTCGTCAAGGTCAACGAAGCGCAACGGAATGGCTGGTTCTTTGGCGAGGACACCACATCACACGCCAGTGGCTGGTTCCCTGCGGCCCACGTCGTCGCCCTGACAGATCAGCAAACGGAGGTTGATCCCACGCAAGTGTGCAAGCCCACGCTGCCCACGGCACCAAAAGCACAGGCAGCCCAGAGCCCGCGGCCAAAGCCCCGTCCCAAACCACGAACAGCCGCCATCCGCACCAGCCCTCAAAGTGGGACTGAGGCAGACACGGCATCAGCAAAGCCTGCGACAGCCGCCGCCACAGCAGTGCTGCACAGCAAGGACGTCAAGGGCGCAGGATCAGCTGGTGGCAGCCCACCAACACGGCCAAAGCCACGACCCGCACGCGCACCCAGCGCTGCCGCACGCGGTGCTGGGCTTCGCGCTGCTGGATCTCACGACAGTCTAAACGCAGCCGCAGGCTTTGTGTCCGACGATGGTGCATATGACGACGATGATGGCGATGACGACGATGACACGCCATCCAGCATCGACCTCAAGCCATCCGACTTGCCACGGCTCAAAGGTGTGATGCGATGCAGCCGTGTGTGTTTGTGTGTGTGTGTGTGTGTGTGTGTGTGTGTGTGTACGAGTGTACAGATGGTTGTGCACGTTCCTCACCCTTTCCATCCTTCCCTCCACCCGTAATCGTCACCACCACCACCACCACCACCACCCAGCGGCGGCGGTGAAGGAGATGCTGTATCGGTTTGAGCCGCGCGACTCAGACGAACTCCGCGGCGCTCCGGGCGTTCGTGTGCGCGTCATCGACACCTCAGAGGACGGGTGTGTGTGTGTGTGTGTGTGTGTTTCTGTCTGCTTGTCTGTGTGTGTGTGTGTGTCTGTGTGTCTGTGTGTTTGTGTGTTTGTGTGTCTGTGTGTCTGTCATGATGTGGGTATGTCTCTGTGCGTGTGTACATCCACGGGCGCTTGTAATTGCTTGTCTCACAACGGCCATGTACATACACTCGGATGGCTGTGACGTAGGTGGTGCCTGTGCATGCGCACATCTGTGGACATCAGCCCGCTCTCTGACGGCCACGACATTGCGCTTGCAGTCGGCATTGACATCGGCTGGCTCCCGGGCAATTTCCTCGCAGGTGCTGTTGCGTACCTTGAGCACACTTTTGAGTCATGTGCGTGTGTGCGTGTGTGTGTGTGTCTGTGTACGTGTATGTGCGTGGGTTCAATCGGCTTTGCTGATATGTCGGCGTTTGTTCTCCCGCAACCACATCGACTCACACACCCACGCACGCGACCTTTCGCTCACTCACACCCATTCCCTCCTCCCACCCACCCACATACACCACCCCCCCCCCCCACACACACACACACACAGATGTGGATGTGAATGCTCCGCCTGCGATCTCGGACGAAGACGAGCTTGAATATCTCTTTGCACTCATTCAGGGTGGAGACAACATGTGAGTGGCGTGCTGACAGCATCAGAGCTGTGGCTGAACTGCTGTCATGGCAACTGGTAGATGCGTGGCTGTGTGCACTACACACTACGCTAATTTATCGTTCTCACCTGACATTCCTTTGGCACACACAAACCCTCGCACAACCGCACTCACGCATACACACTCACCCGCACTCACATGTACGCGCAGCGGCTCTGGAAACAGGAGTGCGAGCAGGGAGCGGCTTCAGCGTCGCGGCGACAGCACAGATACACACGCAGACTATTCCGTGGCCTCTGTGTCGCAATCGCATCCAACGTCCCCACACACCGTGCCACACCGTACGTTCCGTGTGGCTTTGCTGTGTCACATTTCATGGCGGTGTCACCTGCGTGCATCATTGGTTCTCCTGTGCTTCATCTAACACACCAACACTGGTGCATCACCGCCATCACGATCCACTCGCATCCATACCATTCTCCTCTCATTTCCCAATGCCACCTCATGTCACTTTTCCCGCGGTCACCACCACCACACCACCCCTCTGACTTGCAACTCTGCCAACCCTTGCAGCAGCTGCTGCGCCGCCCGTTCTCTCCCAACAGTTTCGCGCCCGAAGCGCTGATGATCTTCTTTCCTCCAACGCGTCCGACGCCGCTGGCTCAAGTACGCTGCGATTGCCCGTGGTGGTGGTGGTGCTGGTGCTGGTTTTCGTGGTGAGCAAGTTCCTGCGAGTGTGGTGGGCGAAGCACACTCTATGCGCGCGAGAGTGTATGTGACTCAAACAGCACCTGCTCACGCGCGTGTACATGTTCTGCTGCACACATGCTCACACCTCCACACCATCATCATCACCATCATCATCACCATCATCATCATCACCACCACCACCATCATCATCATCACCACCACCACCACCACCACCACCACCACCACCACCACCACCACACTACCACTACCACAACTACCACCACAACGACTACTCCCACCATCGCTGTTGCCAGTGACAACACGTGCGGGGCGGCGCGTGCCGCAGTCCGTGTACGGATTTCCAGCGCCGCGCAATTCAAACGCGCCAGCACATCGTGACACGCACAGCACTAGCAGAAGGAAGGATGCGCCAGCGCGGAGGGATCACAAGGACCAGGCAGCAGTAACAACAGCGGGAGTTGGAGAAGGAGTGACTGCTGGCATGCATGGAAGCCACGTTGGCGGAAAGAGCGATGGTGATGGTACAGAGAGAAGAGGGAGCAACGACAGCAACACAAGCGGCAGGGGGCGTGGTGGGCGTGAGTTTGCATATGAGCGAGTTGGAGCGCGAACAACACTCGATGCGTACATTCAAGGCGACGATGCCCCCGTGTACGACAACATGGCGAAAGGCAGACAAGTCACGTCGCCTCTGCCGACCACACAGGTGTGCCAAAGTCACATGCGTCACTGAACATGGTGTGATGTTTGCACGAGTGGTGCAAGTGGCGGTGTTATTTGAGGAACAGGATTGCGTGGTTGCCACTGTGTGTGTGTGTGTGTGTGTGCAAATATGTGTGTGTGTGTGCAAATGCGTGTGTGCGTGTGAAATTTGTGACATGTGCGGCGTCCAAAGCATGTTACTCACAACAACATGCACATGTACATGCATGCACAAGTGCGAACAGGCTGGCGAGGAGTGTAAGTTTGCTGTGATTGCGCGCTGTGATTGTGTGGATCCACGCCCGGGCGCCCTTCAGTTCCAGGTATCACACCACCCTTTTTCTTGTGCTGTGGAAATCGTCTTGTGCATGTGCAAGCGCTGTACGCAGGCGCAAGCCTTGAGTGCGCATGTACCCTTTGCGTTGCGGTTGTTCTCGCGTTCACAAGTAAGACCTCACCTGCCCGTCATATGTGCGTCTGTGTACATCTGTGTACATCTGTGTGTGTGTGTGCGTTCTTGTGAGCAGAAAGGCGACGTCATCTACGTTGTGCAGCATTCTGATGAAGACACGTACTGGCATGGCTATCTTCCCGCCATGGTGCGACATGTCACACACACACACACACACATATAACGCACGTAATGCCACTCACGCACACACTCACACTCACACAATGTCACTCACGCACACACATACACTCACTCACTCACTCACTCACACACACACTCACTCACTCACTCACTCACTCACACAAACACACAACCACAGGCTGATGTGGTTGGGGAGTTTCATCGCGATTTCGTGCGTGAATTGGAGCCGCACGAGCACCGCGTGCTGCAGAGTCTGGACGAGCGCGTTGCCAGCATCAACCCGTCGCGACGCGGAACGGAGGACCTGACGTCCGATCACCCGAGTCATGCTGACGGTGATGGTGATGGTGATGGCGGTGTGCACGGAGCAACTGGTGGATATTCAACAGTGGATGGTGACGAAGGTGATGGTGGCGGTGTTGGCGGTGGTGGTGTGCATAAGGCGCAAGCGCCGACAAAGGAGCAAGGCGATCGAAAGACCAGGGGAGATGGAAAGACATCGCACGTGTATGAACAAGTCGATGCAAGAGATCAAACCGACTACGAGCACATTTTGCAACAAAGTACGTGCGCTTTGCGCCAGGCTTTTATTGCTTGCAAGCACACATAGGACACGGACATAGTTGTGTGTGTGTGTGTGTGTGTGTGTGCGTGTGTGTGTGTGTGTGTGTGTGTGTGTGCGTGTGTGTGCGAATCTGCGTGTGCCCCCTTTCTTCCTCCCGGAAACTTGTCAGCTCATCGTATCCCGGTGCCCCTTTGCGTGACGGTTCTTGCTGCTGTGCGCTGACAGACGCCGAGAAACCGCGTCCGTCTCGCCCAGCGCCGCCACCGCCACGCGGCTCTGTCTCGCACGTGCGTTGACACAGTTGCATTATGTGTACACGCACGTTTACCACGTGCCTTGTGTATGCGGTTGTGTTATCCTCTGCACCACACGTGCACCGCCGCAGTCACGTGCACCTGTGCACACGCATACGCGCACATGTATGCCCACATGCGCGCTCACACGCATTCACGTGTGCTCACACCCCCATGCCCTCGCTTTCTCTCTCCCACCTGTCACTGCGTGCTGGTTGCAGGCTGCCCGGCATGCAAGCAAGTCTCCGCATCGAAGAAGGCACAGCAAGCATAGACAACAACAACAACAACAACAACAACAACAACAACAACAACAACAACAACAACAACAACAACAACAACAATATGCGCAGGTCAGCACCACCCCACCATCAGCAGCCCCCACCCCACAGCCACGCACCAAACCGCCCGGACCAGCGCCGAGAATACCGCGACGACCAACAAACTTGCGGATACAGCACGTGGACCTCTCCGGTTATGATCTCTCCAAAGAAGAGCTGCGAGAGTCGCTGCGCCGGCACCGAAGCCAACAGCAGCAAGCCCGTGCCGCTGCTGGCGGTGATGGTGATGAGCATCGGCCTGCTGTACCCACTCGCACGTCATCCATCAGATCAACACGGCGACGACAGCGCAAGAGTCGACGCCACCACGACACCTCAACAACGCATCTGAACGCCGGCCCGCTCACGCCGCCCGACCGCACTGCTCTGAAGAGCCCAACACCCAAGGTGGCAGTGCTTGGAATGTTTGCAATGTGGATTGTGGATTGTGTGGTTTCTGAGTTGCTTTTGTTCTGTTGGTTTGTTTGCTGGGTTGGTTCACTGTGTGCTTTGTTGGTCGTGTGCATGCGTGCCTACAGTCCACATGCAAAGCGCTTGTTTTTTCGTCGCGTCAGTGTTGTGTTGCCTTCGAACCTCCCCCGCCCCCAAACGCACACACACGCACGCACGCACGCACGTACGCACGCACACGCACGCACACAAGTCACTGCGCGAGTTTCACGCCGGCACTGCTTGCCTGGTCGTTCTTTGTTGCATCAGCGCCGTGCACCGCAGCCTGCAATAGCACACACCCCATACACGGCTGCCCTTCCCTCGGAGATTTCTCTGGCAAAGGGAGATATTGTCACCGTCCTTCACAAGGTCGCATGAGCTAATGTGCCAGCTGTTCGTGCGTGTTGTGTGGCAAGTGTGTTGTGTGTATTCATGTTCGATGATGTGTTTGGGAGCGCAACATGCGAAGTGTACGGCGTGCCAAGCAACAAAAGCTTCCCCTCCACCTTCTCACACGAGTGCATGCGTTTGCCGCATTGCGCAGAGTCGCTCCCGCACTGGTTGGCTGGTTGGTCGTGTCGGTCACAACCCAGAGGTGAGATATGACGAGAATGCCCTCTACACCGTGTATGTGCAGTGTGTGTGTGTGTCTGTGTGTGTGTGTGTGGGTGTGTCTGTGTGTGTGTGTGTGTCTGTGTGTGTGTGTGTGTCTGTGTGTGTCTGTGTGCGTGTGTGTGTGTGTGTGTGTGCCGTGCGCCCTCGCGTGCAAGCACTCATTTGCTTGGCCTTCCCTTCAAACAACCACAGGGCGAGTTTCCGGCTGCAAACGTCCGGGTGCTGAAAAGAAAACGGCCACCTGGACAGCAACAACAACAACAACAACAACAACAACAACAACAACAACAACAACAACAACAACAACAACAACAACAACAACAACAACAACAACAACAACAACAACAACAACAACAAAGGCAGAAAGGGGCTGACGAGCACCATCGGGAGAGCGACGCTGATGCCAGGGACAATCCATACGGCACCATGCCACCGCCACCGCCACCGCCGCCATCGCTCGAAGAATACACCCCAGCCCAGTCCCCAACGCAAACAGCAGCAACAGCGCCTGCAAAGCCCCCAGCAAAGCCGGCCTTGAAGCCGCGGCCAAAGCTCGCGCCCAAACCCCGCCATGCAGTACCACCAGCAGCGACACCAGCACACCCACCCCCACATGCTGCACCCCGCGAACGAAAGGTGCCCTATGACAACCACATACCACCAACATCGTCATCGTCGTCGTCGTCGCCACCTTCCGCACAACACCGCGAGGGTGACCGCCGTGGCCGCGCGTCTGGCGGAGATGGAGATGTGCGCAAGGCAGCAAACCAAGGACGGTACTTTACGACACAGCTCTGATGCATGTGCGTGGTTAGTTGGTTGGATGGCTGGCCGGCTGGCTGGTTGGTTGCTTGGCCAGCTCATATGGTGGCGTGCTTCGCGTGAACTGCTTGCCATCCATTCCTTCTCCCTCGCAGTCAACGTTTGTGTGCTGTCGGTGAAGTGGTGTTACATTACTTTATGTGTCTTGATTCAGCTGCGTATTTGCTCTTCTGTTACATTTCATTTCTTTGGCCGGGCTGCCTCTCAGCGCCAAGCTCCAAAAACCACAAGGTACACAAGGTGCACTACCACACAGTACGCAACGTCACCCAGGCGTCGTAAACATGATTTACGTGCGAGCACACTTCAAAGCCAGGGTGGAGTGCATAGGACAAACAACCACACTTAAACTCACACAGGAACGTGAATACACACACACACACACTCACAATCAAAGCACACACACACACTCACACACACACACGACGCTGCTAACAGACGTTGCAGTTGGAAACTTGCACAGGGTCTTCCTCATCCTCATCAAAGTAGACGCAGGAGCCGTGACCATAGCATGAGATGGCGTCCAAGTTGAGGTTTCCACGCAGGTTGATATCGCCCATCACAGACGAGACCCCGGCCAGGGAGAGGACGCGAATGTCTGCGTTCGAAATGATGATGTTGTTGACTGTGTTCAAGCCAGCAAAGTCTGTAACGGCTCTCAGCGCTGGGTTGTCTGCCAGGTACAAGTCCTCGCCAATGGACTGCAGGGCACCAAGATCGACACTGGTCAGGCTGCTGCAGCCGTGAATGCGAACGGCTTTCGAGACGGTGGAGAGGGACGACCCAAAATCAATGGAGGTCACGGCGGCGTTGGCGATTTCAATCCCGCCAGTAACGCTGTGCAGATCGCCAAAGACGACACTGCGCATCACTGGGTTGTCGGTGAGAACCAAGGCAGCGCCAAACACAAACGTCGGGTGCATGGCGTCACCAATGGTCTCGATCTGGCCGAGGTCAACGCGCGTGAGGCTGTTGCAGGTGTAGATGCTGAGGTAGCCTGGAACAGCAGCGATGGTTGTGCCAAAGTCGACTTCCGTCAGCGCAGCATCTCCCTCAATGTGCACGCTGTCGCCAATAGCCCTGACTTGATGCATGCCAACAGAAGTCAGCTTGTCGCAGTCGCGCACATACAAGCTGCCACCAATGGCCGTGCCAGTCCAACTCTCAAAGGCAATGTGCCGAAGTTCAGGGTTATCTTCGATAATCACGTTGCCACCAATCTCCAGCACGTTCAAGTTCAGCTGCGCGCCCAGTGAGCCAAGCTCAATGTTGCCAGATACATGCACGTCTTCATCCACGGTGCCTGCGTCGATGGTCACGTCGGTCAGCTGAGGGTTGTCGCCAATGTAGTCAGAGGAGATGTCAATACCGCCAATCCGTTCAATGTTAAGCAGCTCCAGCGACCGCAGCTGTGTTCCCCGCGCGACCACGCTGTCGTTGATGCGCTTAACGCCGTCGAGTCGGAAGCTTGTCAGCAGCGTGTTGTCCAGGATCACGGCCTTGACGTACTCGAGGCTGCCAAACGTCAGACCAGTGGCGGCGCTGGTGCCAGTGAGACCGAGGTCGCCCCCAATTCGCTGCACAGCGCTGAAATCTGCAGTACCAATCGTCGCGTCGGTGAGCCACAGCCCACCCGTGATGCTGACGACGTTGCCGAAATCCAGTGTTTGGATGGCGGTGTCCCTGAAGAACACATCAGACCCAACACTGGTGATCAGGCCAAGGTCAAGCAGCTCCACCTCGTCCACGTCCGGGTTGAAGAAACGCGTGAAATCGGAGGATCCAAACAGGCTGCCAGAGACGAGGTTGAAGAAGAACTGACCAATGTTGCTGCTCCACGGTGAAGCCGGGGCATCGACGAGGTTGCCAAACCGCACTGATGTCAGGTTTGATGTGACAATGGAGATGACACCAACTCGCTCCAGTTTGTTGAGAGCCACGGTGCGAATTGGATTGCCGTTAAAGTACACGCCACCATCAACTTTCGTCAGGCTGTGGAAGTCGAGGGAGGTGAGGGCGTGGTTGTTCTCCACACGAACATCGCCAGTCACGGTGAGCAGCGGAAAGAAATCAAGCGAGCGTAGGCGGGTGCCAACGATACGGATGTTGTGGATGTGATATGCAGCGCCAAAGCTCAGGAACTGCAGGAACGCGTTGTTGCTGACGTCGAGTGTGCCTGCAATTTCCAGCAGGTTCAGCTCAAGGCTGAAGAGGTCATTGGAGGAAAGGTCGACGGAGCCGAGAACACGCTCCACACCAAAATCAACAGTGGTGAGGTGATTGCGCTGCAGGTGCAGGTTTTGGGAGATGTTGCGGAGAGAGCTGAGGCCCACCGCGTTCAGGTTGTTGTCGGCCAAGCAAATGTCGCCACCAATGAACTGGACCTCGGTGAACAGGAGGGCGCCGGTGAGGGCGTTGTTGCAGGCGTCAAAGTCACCGCCAACGTGTCGCAGCGAGCCCGTCGTGATGCTGGTGAGGTGGCCGTTGGGGGCAGAGAAGGAACCGCCAAGCCACTGCAGGCCGTTGAAGTGAACCTGGTTGATGACGGTATCTTCACGCAACTCCACCCAGCCGTCAATCTTCGTGACCTGCCCAAAGTCAAGGAGGGGCAGCTCGCCGTGAGAGAAGAGCACGCCGCCCGCGATATGGTTCAAAGTGGCAAAGTCCAGCGTGCCAAGGGCTGAATTAGACAACTCGAAGGAGCCATCAAGCTCCTGCACCTGCCCAAAATCGAGGGTCTCCACTTCGCTGTTGTACCTCACGTAAACGGAGCCGGGGAACCGCGTTTGAGTGCCGAGGTCGATGCTGGTGATGCGGGAGCTGCGGATGGTGAGTTGTTTGTCGCCAATGTGTTGCAAAGCACTGCCCAAGTGCACGGTGTTGAGTTCGCTGCCGTCAAAGTAGATGATGCCGCCAACGTGCTGCAGTGTGTCGCCAAAATGCAAGCTGCCAATCTGGCTGCGTGTGAAGATGATGCTTCCGTTGATGCGTTCAATGCCATCCAAGTTGATGCTGTCCACAGCAGTCTCGTAGAAGTGAAGGTCGCCTCCGATAACGCGCAGCGCATCAGCAACCATGGACACGTGTGCGCCGTGGGACACGCCAACGCCGCCTCCAACCTCCTGCAAGTACCCGAAGCGAATCTCTGTCGCATTGGGAGAAAAGGTGACGAAGTGGGTCACCTTGCGCAGGCTGAGAGACGACTCGCACGGCGCGCCGTAAACGTAGCCTGCCTCGCAATGGCGGGAGATGGGGTTGTAATCGCAGTTGATTGCGAATTCCGTTGAGCCCTCACAGAACCCTGGTGCAAATGTCGAGGTCGTGGTAGTGGTTGTAGTGGTGGTAGTGGTGGTGGTTGTAGTGGTGGTAGTTGTTGTTGTGGTGGTCGCCGTCGTTGTGGTTGTTGTGGTGGTCGTTGGGTTGGTCAAGGAGACGTGGTAGATGACGCTTCCCTCGTTGTCGTGGAACACGCGGAGGAACATGCTCAGGCCATTCTCAAACCCTTCAGAGGGCGCCGTATAGACGACGGAGTACAGGGTGGGGCTCAGCTGGGTGGCGATGGTGCCGCCAAACGAGTTATAGAGCGCAACCTCCACCGTCCCGGGATCCTCAACAAACTCCACATCAACGACAGTCGTGCACCCAAGGCACAGGCTGTAGCGGAAGAAGTCGTCGTCAAAGGCATCCGCAATGGCGCTGAATTCATAGTTGAGGGTCTGGGGCAGCACAGCCGCGTCTGTCCACACGTCATTGGGCTCATATGGGTCAACTGTCAACGGCGTTGTTGTGGTTGTGGTGGTGGTTGTGGTCGTAGTTGTGGTGGTTGTGGTTGTTGTTGTTGTGGTGGTGCTTGGGTTCAAGCCCGAGAGCTGAACGACGAGGTTGTAGTTGACTGTGTTGTCGGCGCGATGGTGGATGCGCAGGTACAAGTGTTGCGATACAGAGCCGTTCGTGTAGGCGAAGGCAAACCGAGTGGGGCTCACTTCCGTGGCTTCGGTGCTGCCATAAGCGCCGTACTGGGTGATGTGCACATCGAGCGGGTCTGCGGCAAACTGGACCGTCACGGATACGGTGCAGCCAGCGCAGATGAAGTATACGAAGAAGTCTGTGTCGCGTGCGCACAGAACGGCCTTGATGGCCTGATGGGGAGCAACCGGCAGCTCGCTCCCCTCTGTCCACACGTCGTTTGGCTCATACGGATCCCCAGGACAGGGCGCGGTTGTTGTTGTTGTTGTTGTTGTTGTTGTTGTTGTTGTTGTTGTTGTTGTTGTTGTTGTTGTTGTTGTTGTTGTTGTTGTTGTTGTTGTTGTTGTTGTTGTTGTTGTTGTTGTTGTTGTTGTTGTTGTTGTTGTTGTGGTAGTGGTGGTGGTGGTGGTGGTGGCGGTGTCGGAGACGACCTGCATCACTTGACAATCTTCGACAGAGATGCTGCCGTGCTGTGAAATGCACGCAGCAGCAGCCTGGCCGTTTCTGGGATGGAACACAGGGATTGTGGCGGACGTTGCATCCACGGCGGTGAGCGAGCCGGGCAAAGAGCCACCAAACCGACACAGGTCCTGTGAACCAACCAACATACACATACACACGACGCAATACACAGGTCAGTTGATGTGAGGATTGGTTGATTGGACGCTCATGCAATGTGAAGTGCTCTTCGTGTGTCCATATATGTGTGTGTGGGGGGGGCATCAAGCGCGAAAACGCAAAAAGGGAAAAATAAACACACACGCACACACGCACACACGCACACATGCACACACACACACACACACACACACACACGCACACACGCGCACACACGCACACACACACACACACACACACACAAGTACGTGTTGTGCGACGGAGAGGGTGGGAGATGCCATTGCATGTCATGCCATTACCTCATCAATGCCACAGTGTGAGAGCAGCGCGCCCTTCCATTGGCCACCAAGCAGGTCAAGCTCGTGTGCGCTCCGGTCCGTCAAATCGGCGCCGTCACACTCCATGCGCAGCTGCATAATTTGATTTCAGCAACAACAGAAGGAAAGAAGGACACGCTCGGCGTGAGAAACACTGTCTGTGTATGTGCGTGTGTGTGTGTGTGTGTGTGTGTGTGTGTGTGTGTGTGCAGGATGGTAAGGGCTGGGGTTTGGGACAACTGACCGTAATGGTGGTTTGAAGGTCACCAGGGTACGGTGTGCATGAAGACAACGAGAGACACTGCTGGTGCGGAAAGCCACTCTCTGACATGCACGGTCTTGCCTGCAAGCAACCTGTTCAAGGACGCACCACGGCATTTCGACAGTGAACCAATGATGAGTCGATTTTTGGTGAGGCGAAGAAGCGCACGTGTCTCACCTCACGCAACAACAAGCAGGAAGGTCGCTTGCTCATTGTGCGTACAGCACGCAAGCACACAATCACACAAGCACACAAGCACACAAGCACACAGTTCTGACCTTGACCAGAGCAGGGTCGGAGGGAGTTGCACTTGCATGACGCATCCTGTTCGCAAACGCTGAATTGGATCCCGCCTGCCTGCTCATCGTCGACGGCCTCAAAATAGTAGCCGCTGGCAGCTGGCACAAACAAGGCGCAGCTTCCATTCAGCTGTGATTGTGCCAGCATGTGTGTGTGTGTGTGTTTGCAGGAGTATGTGTTTGAAGACGGAGTGCGTGAGACGGCGATCTGTGAGGTGAAGCCAGAGTGGAAGGCGGAACACACACACACACACGCACGCACGCACGCACGCACACACACACACACACACACACCCACACCCACACACACACACACACACACACCCACACACACACACCCACACACACACACACACACACACACACACACACACACACACACACACACACACACGCACACATATACACACACGCATGCACATACACACACGCATGCACACACACACACACACGCATGCACACACAAATCTGTGCTTACGAGGGCGAAGGCTTGTGACGTTGAGAGGGGCTCCCCCAGGATGAGTGAGGTCGGTGCAGGCGTGCTCAGCTGGGCGTGTCAACATGCAAACACGCATGGCAGTGCAAGCCAAAAGGAATAGCAATGAGGCGGCGGTCTATGGTGTGGTGACTGCAAGCATCGCTTCTCCACAGCCAGCACACTGATGCAAGTTTATGCTCACAAGGTGCTCATCAAGTGGGCGTACCGCATGGGCGGGGGTGCACAGGATCATCAGAGTGGCGATGTGCAGCAACAGCAGCATGCTGCCTCGCTGACAAGGCGCCGCAGCAGAAACATCCACCATCTTGCTCTTGGGCATCGCTGGCAGTTGATCCGCTTTCCGTTCTTGGTGCTTGGTTCCTGGTTCTTACTTTGCGTGGTCGCTACCGCTCGCTTGCTTCGACTGAAGGCTCCAACCAACCAAGGCGCCGAGACAATGGACTGCTGGACTGGAGGAAGAGCGATCAATGCCGAGAAGAAGAGAAGCCACCCAGGCAAGCAGGCACTGCTCTGTGCGGGTGAATGCTCTGAAGAAATGAGCATCGCCTGCTTCACAACGGAAGAACGGGGGAAGGGCGAGAGAGAGGTGGGGGGGAAGGAGACGCAAGCAGCAAAGCGATCAGATCATTGGCGCAACACTACGCACGCTGGCTGGCTGCCATGTTTCCCTTGCATCATGTTGCCTCCACGATGGCCGCCCCAAGCCCAAACGACCTTGGCGGTTATTGTTATGTTACTTCTGTTTTGCGTGCGCGCAAGAACGCAACGCAACGACGTGCTTGCGTTGGGGCAGGAATGTTTCGGATGCTGAATTCAGTTTGCACATTGTTTGTGGTGTCGTCGTCGGCACTTCGAGGACGAACGACCTCCTGCCTGCCTGCGACACACGACACCAAGCACCAAGCAAACCCACCACACCCCACACACCACACGACCACACACCATAATGTCATCGTTTGTTCCACGGCAGGCGAGGAAGGTGCCCGAGCGGGCGGAGGCGCAGCGGCCGCGCCCCCCATTGCCGGCAGCACCAGGCTCTGGGGGACGGGCAAATGTCACGGAGGGACTTCCAAAGAAAAAGAAGCGCGAACAGAGGGCGGCTGCCAGGAGGGGGCGGCAAAGCCCCAGTTGGCACGCCAAACAGCGCATGCTGGAGCCGACAGCCCCCCCCGGGCCAGCAGAGCAGATGGAAACAGCACCCGGGAACAGGGGCGAGCAACCCCAGGAACCACCAACAAGGACTTCAAAACCCCTCAACGCTCCTCTCAACGGGCCCCTGCCCAGGGGCCCCCCCTCCTCCCTCGGGGGGATATATTCCCCCACCCCTTTTACCCCCAACCATTACAGGCGGCGCGCCGGGGGGGTTTTT